TCAGGCAGCTGTAGAGAGTGATAAAGTCTCCCCTGAGCCTCCTTTTCTACAGGCTAAACAACCCCAGCTCCCTCAGCTACTCCTCATAGGACATTCTCTCCAGACCCTTCACCAGCTTCATTGTCCTGCTCTGTACCCACTCCAGCACCTTCCTGAATTGAGGGGTCCAGAACTGGACACTGTATTTAAGGCGCAGTCTCACCAGTGCCATCTACGGTCTATGATCACTGTCCTGGTCCTACTGGCCCCACAATTCCTAATGCAGGCCAGGATGCCAGTGACCTTCTTGCCACCTGGGCACACACTGGCTCATGTTCAGCCATCTGTCACCCAGCACCCCAAGGGACTTTTCTGCTGGGCAGCTTTCCAGCCACTCTGCTCCAAGTCTGTAATTGGAGCATATTTTGTCTTTGTCAGGTGGACCATTCTGATCCTGGAGTCTGATCAAAAGCTTCCTCCCCCAGAAACTCAGTTGTTGCTTTTCTACATCTGACACTGCTGCAATTCCTTGAGCCTGTTCGAGGGAGAACACCCCAGACAGCCAAGAAGCACTTTTCTGCTTTTGAAGTTCCTGTGATACTATTAAGCAGCACATTGACTGGTGTAGACAGGATAGGATTCACCCTGAATGAGACAGAATTTGACAACAAAGTTGCAGAAAGTGTTAGTTCATTGGTTCAACTTAGCAGACATCACCAGTTTGTTTGTGAGACAGAAAAGCAAGTGCTGGGGGTAGCTGGGAAAGAGTGGGGGAGGAATCTGACCCTGCAATCTGGAAAGATCACCATGTACAAAGGCTTTCAGCTCCGTACCAACTGACAGTGATGCAAAAGAGACAACCTGGTGCTACCCACAGTGCCAGCAGAAGTATGCTGACATCACTTTTGGTATGCTTAAATCTGTATGTTCTCATCAGGAGCTTTTCAATCATACCTCAAGGGTAACTAAAACTGTCATAAAACTGATTCCATTTTATCAAGAAGGAAAAAAATGAAACAGTTATGAAGATTGCTGTTTTGGTGCAAAGATCCTTCTGTGAGTACTCGAGCACGATTTTAATTGGAAAATATATTTGAATGTAGAAGATGTTCAGTAAATAGAGAATTAACAAATTATAACCATTGACACAGAGCAAGAAGGAATTTACTCAGCTTGATCTTCAGGTTAGATGGGTAGTGTAAAATTGCCAGTAAGAATGTGAAGTACTCACTTAATTTGGAATCTGATCACATACGACAGACAATCATAGAACTCCAGCTGTCGTTTCATAGTATAGCCATACACAAAATTGTTGTTCTTTTTAAAATACTAATTAATAAGGCTATTTGCTGAATCTCTGTTAACTTTACTCCCTAAAAAAGTCTCAAAATTTTTCAGAAACCACCTCCTTGGTGTGTATTTAATCAGTTTAAATAAATAAATAGTGCATGCAGAATATTTATGTCCATATGTATACATATATATATGAAAACAATAGAACATAATTTCCTACCATGTAACTATTTCTGAATGCTTTGCCTAATCTAAATAGGGTTAAGAAGCAACAATATGCAAATTTTCCATTCAAAAGCTTGAAGTGAAATGACTCACTTCAGACATTCAGTTTCATAATATTTGGTGGTGGGGTTAATTATAGGTTTATATTTGAAATATTTTCACACTTGAAAATGTTATTTTGTCTCAAAAATATAAAAAGCAAAACAAAACTAAACCAACCAAAACCCTTAAGCCACACACCACTCATCTGAAATGCTTATGTTTGTTTTCCACATAGGCAATAAACACATTGTTAACAGAGAGGGCAAAAAGTCTTTGGATGACTTGGTGTTTACATTTTGGATGGAGAGGGAAAGACTGTGAGAAACCATTAACTTAAATTGTCAGAAACACAAAAGATATTTTTGAGTAGGAAGAAGGTGTCAGTATAGAAACACATAGACAGAGCCAAGAGCTCTGCCATGGAAATCCAGAGAAGCAAACCTTTAATGCTGCTCTTCCACATGTACAACACAGGTAATGGGAAATTTGTAGGAGACTTCTGCAATCTCCTGCACAGCTAATAGTAACGCCAAAATTAATCTAATTTCTTTCTTTAGCACATATTATTGGTTTTATATGTAAAGAATACTGTTGTCTAATGTACTGAAAAAAAAATCTACTGGGAAAATTCTGAGCAGCTGAAGCACCTGCCAAGAACTTGTTTTATATATTTTTTGAGATATGCAGTATTTCACAATGCGATTTATAACTGCTAATTAAACATAAGTCACTGCAAAAGTATAGTTTAAAAAGTTCTGTCAATGAAATTTTGACAATTCCGTGCAAAGCAAAGCATATTTTCTAATATTATCTGGAATCCCTTCTTGCACTTTTGCCCGGAATTAGAATTATCCCTCTTTTGGATTAAAGATGCATTGGTGGATTAGTCTATCACTGATGACAACATAATATATCCTTCCCAGAGGCTTAAACTGAAAAGACGTCTGTTAACTACAGACTGTATTAAAACAACAGGGGGGGAAAAAAAAGGGGAATTGGACATGAAACAGTATTTTAACATTTAAATATCAGCATGTGGGAGGTTAAAGTTTGTGAAACATAACCTCAGGTTCAGTGCCATGTATCAATCCTACTCTTTCCATAGGCTGTATCACCTGTAAAACTAGTAAGGCATGGGACTGATTCCTGTAAGGATTAGCCATGAGTACTACTTCTAGCTTTAGCCACCTGAGCAAGCTCAGGAATACCAGCCACACAGGCAATTTAAATTTAATGAAAAATAAATTGGTTTTAATTTTTCTACTTGATGCTCAGATATGTACACATATTTTGAAAAATTTTGCTTCTTTATTTGAATATTTTTTTGGCCAGTTAAAGAAGTATTAGTTTTATACTTAAATTTAGCATTTCCAAAACAACAAAGCAGATGAGCTGCTTCTGAACTGAAATAATTTCTATTTCTGAAACTTTGTTTCAGATGACGTGAATTTGATTCATCACTTTAACACTCTAAAGGAGATGTTACATTATTCTGTATTTTAAGAGACATGCCAGAAGTTTTCCATGGAATAGTATCTTCCTGCAAAGTTTTTCTAGGTGTAAAACCACATAGCACATAAAACATCTTTCCATGTGAACATCCTGGAATATTTCACATGCCAGTAATTGTACAATGACAACTTCTAGAATACACCTGTTTAACTGTTAAGCCAGATTCTGGAAAGCTAACTAAAAAGAAATATTTCAATGACTCTAATAAATAGATAATGTGCTGTACTTTCTGGTTAACTTAAACACCTAATTACATTCTTTTTCAATTATATGCCAGGAAAAAGTAGATGAGTTGTTAGCATTCAATTTCAATGTAAGATGTTGGGGTCTGTTTTTTGTTTAAGAAAAGGTCAGTCCTTCACTTTGTAAAAGTCAGTAAAATCGTTGGCTGAAAAAAGTAGCTCAATATGGGTGTAGAATCCATCTAAGAAATGAGCTTTCTACCTCACTCGCCTGTTTGTGGCACTGAGAAGATGGGGATTAGACATTTTTCTAGTATTTTATTTAACAAGAGATCTGGATGTCATCACTAATGTTGCTTGTTAAATTGAATCTTTGAAGAACAGTATAGAATATGTGAAGTGTTTGTGTGTAAGCTCACAGGCTGTGTGCTCCATCCTTTAAAAGGAAACCATTGTGAGGGGGAGGGTCCTGAGCACAAAGAAGGGAAGCACTGCTTTTCTGGCAAATGGCAGTATCAGCAACAAAACTCTAATAGGACCCACATGCTTCAATACGCAGTAAATAATACCCATACACTTTGTAGAAATAAAAGGTTGGAGGATGGGGAAAGGACTTTGAGTTCTGCAGTCAAAGAAATTTAAAGGTACATCTAAGTAGTCTTACGAGAGATTGCTTTATAGTGAAGTATCAGTTACACACAACCCTGGATCATAATTATCTGTGTATCCTCAGGCTAGCAGAGCAGTTATAATGCAGTTCTGTGCTGCTCTGCAATTGATCTCTGTGACTGCATCATTTTCCTGACGTTTTACAACTTGCTGATTCAGTAATCACAGTTCAGCTGTCTTAATCACGCAGTAATTGAGCCATAGAGGGAATGCCAATAATCAAGAAGATACCAAACCAATTAGATAGCAATGCTTTCAGTCAAGAAACAGCTAACAGCAACTCAAATCTGACTTTGCTTATTCTCCACTATCGATGTCTAGATTTCTTAAAAGGTAATTAAAAGGAAGACAGTCCATTTTGGCCCAAATCCGCTATCTCCCTGCTCCTTTTATTATGCGCTAAGGAAGAAACAAAAGTCCAGATACAGGCGGGTCCTGCCGCACGGCCGGAGGGGGAGCGCTCCAGCCGCGCCGGGAAGGCAGCGCCTGGCCTGGAGCTGCCCGGCGCGGGGGGAGTGGAGCCGAGCCCGGGCCGGGACCCGCCCGGGCCGGACCTGTCCGTGGTCCTGCAGCCGGCACCACGCTGCCAGCGCCACCGCCGAGGGGCCCTCGGTCCCGGCCTGCCTCCACCAGCGCCCTGCAACAGCTGCTGTCACTGCTGAGCCCCATTCACAGGAATTCAGCTTTTGGGAAGATTTTGAACCCCCTCAAGGCTGGGGGTACTAAACAAAATAAATTCGCCAAACCTCCTACCAAAGCCCTGAGCTATGAGCCCGGAGGTCTCTCGGCTGCCCGGGCAGCGGGGGAAGCCCCAGTCCAGCGCGCAACTTTCCTGCAGGGAGCCGGGCTCCAGCCCCTCGGAGCCCCCGCGCAGGGGATCGAAGAGAAGGGGACCTGGCGCCCTCCTCGCCTGCAAAGCTGTGGAGAAGCCAGGCAGGAGAGAGACGCTGGGAGCTCCCTCGCCTCGCCTTCTTCACTGCCGGCTTCTGGTACCGGGGAAACCCCGGGGGGCGGAGGGAAGAGGAAGCTCCCACCGTACGCGCAATGCCCCCAGTGCATCCCCTGCTCCGGGAGTCCGGAGCCCCAGCCCGCACTCACGTGTGCCGTCAAACCGGGTGGCGATGGTGTCGAGGAAGGTGTTCTGGGGTGCCAGTAATCCCTTCATAACCGGCATTTTTCCAGCGCGGTGCGAGGTTCCCCATCAAAGTTTGTCTACGAGGGTGGCTCGAGAAGAAAGTGCAGAGGGCGCCCGGGGGAAGGTGGGGAGGGAGGAGGCGGAGGGATAGGGAGGAGAAGGAGGATGGGGATGCCGCCGCGCCGCCTCCGGCGCCGGGAGCCCCCCGCTCGTCAGCCCCGGCCCCGCAGAGCACTCCCGCCCCGGAGAGCCGCTCGGGTGCGGAGCCGCGCCCCGACCGGCAGAGCCCGCGCCCCCTCCCCGCACCTCTCCCAAGGCGAGGGGGAGGGGGCCCTGTGGAGAGCCGCCGTGAGGAAGGACGGGCTGGAGGAGAGCAGGGAGCTGGGGAAGAACCACCTTTATCCACCTGTAGCGAAGCCGGGTGGGGCGGGGCAGCGCAGGGACCGGCGGCCCCCGGGGGCTACGGGAGCTTCCTCCGCCCCCGGCAGCCTCAGACACTTTTCGGCTCCAGCACCTGAGAAAGGTCCCAGGCATCTCAGCTCACAGTTCTATGAGTAACAATATCACAGGGTAAAGCACGGGCTTACTTTGCTGAAAGAAGAAACACCCTTGGTAGATAGGAAATGCCTCTGGAGGAGCTCACTGGAGACTGAGACTGGGACATGGATAATTCTCCACCAGTTGTGTGGCCTCAGACATCATCTGCATGGTTATGCTATTTCATTTATTTAAGGAATAGGCATTTTTCTGTGATTGTTAGTACATCCTATAACATTCTTTCAACATTCTTCCCCGGAAAATTCCTGAAAATTTCTTTTTCTGCCAGCCAAAGAGAGAATTAATACATATCCTAGCCCAGAAGGTCTACTGTGTAAATTCCAATAAATAAATATGAAACAATAGTAATAAAGAAGTGGCATTCCACCTTCAGATGAGTAATCTGCTCAGACTGGTACCATGGCTCTTTAAATACTGCCAGATAACTCTCTGTAGTACAGTCATTTCACTTACTGTAGCAGCAATGGCAAAACTGCCCCATGTTCTTTCAGGATTAAATGACCCTAGAGAAATGAAGCAGGAATACATTCCCTAATCTACAAAGTCACTGTGCAGAGGAAGCCTGTTGGGTTCTTGCTATTTTACAGTACTGCTATTTGTATTTTTTGCTATTCCTGTTTATTTATGATTCTCTCTTTCTCCAGATGGTTAGAAGACTTTGATTCCCACTTTTTAGCACAAGCAGCACAGAGAGGTTACAAAAGAGAAAAAATGATCTTTCTTTACAATAGATAATGAAACACAAAAAAACACTCAGAACCTCAGAAAATGCTGATACACAGGGTTTCTAGCACAATAAAAAGCCATGGTAACCTCACCTTGGCTCTGGAGAGTGCAGCAGTATTTTGCTGAGATCATGAATCTGTCCAGTTGCCCTTGTACTAAAAGCCTTTCTCAAACTAGTTGATATAGATCTGCCAGATCAGTTTTCAGAAGTAACACATGAACTGAGAGACTGCCTGTACAGTACTTTGGAAGTCTTCAAGACCTCAAAGTACTATCAGTTTCTCACTACCTGATAATCTTCAAATTCATGTCAGCCTTGTCCTTAAAGTATATAAGCAGAAGCCTTGTCCTTAAAGTATACAATTTTTAACACCAGCAATTTTTAATTTTCATTATTATTCTCATATCTTCCAGATCAATATAAGTAGAGTCACAAAATTAATTTCTATTTTTAGTTTTCCATTTAGCCTCTCTGGCTAGTTGGGTTTGATGGTACGTGTACTCACTAGTGGAATAAAGAAAATCCTGTTTTAATACCTGGAAAACTCTGAAAAGCATGATGAGGTTTTCACTTCTGCCAAAGTGCTCCACAACAGAGGTTAAGATAAATCCAAAGCTTTGAAACCTGACAGAAGACATACCTATGTGGTAACCTGTGGTGCTGCAATTGTGTTTCAGTTTGCATTTTTTTCCACGACCTGTCCTAACACCATTTAAGTAGGGATGCAGTGAAAGAGAAAAGAATGCATTCTTAGTCCCAGTACAGGCAGTCAGGAGAAGCAAACCCATACAAACATTGAAACATACAAATGTATTTCTCAATTTTGGTCATCACAAAAGGGGAGACAAGTTGTTACCTGATCAGTCTGTAAGTCCATAAATGGCCTCACCAAGTCTGAGCTCTAATCATAGCCTTTTGAGGGCTGTAGGACATAACAGCTTCAGTAAGTTTAGAGCTTTATTGAGAGCTCCTGGAAACTTCTTAATTATAAGAAAAAAATTGTTTTAATAAAGCCTTAAGAATTCACTTGGACAAAGAATGCCAAAGAGTTATGCAAACACACAGCTTAGAAAGGATGGATAAGTGCCAGAGGAGTTACATGGCATATTCCATGTTGATAGGGGTGAACACATATTGACTATTGAAATTCACCACTAGCCAGGGTGATGTGATAGCAATGGCAGTGAAAGCTTTACCAACAAGGAAATTCTGATGCACAAGAAGGAAGGATACCAAATGCTGCTGAAAGCCTCTTCATCTCTGAGAATTTCAGGAAATTGGAGGTTTGCAGTTCTTCACAAGCACCCACAATCATTCCATACTATTATAAATTGCTTGTGGAAATGGCTACATACTATGAACAATTAGTTACAACTAAGCTCCTAAAATTTTTGTGTTTGTGTTCTGTGTATCACAAAGCAACCACCCAAATGCCTTGGAAGTTGAGCTAATAAAATACATTACAAAAATAATGTACATTAAAAGTCTCAAACTACAAAAGCTGAGAAATTGAAGTGCAGTATCCTATTTTGCACTTGTATTTAGCATATTCTAGAGACTTTTACTTATAAGAGTAATCCACTTTAATATAAAGTTGTAATTCAGAGAGTTTACTGCAAAACACGGAAAACTCTTAAAGTTGCTCAAAGTAGACAACTTTAAGAGGCCAAAATTTCAGTAAGCAAAGAAGAAATGGTTAAGAAAAGCAGACAAGAGCTGAGCGCATGTAAAAGACAGGTAAAAGGAGGAGCTGAAAGTTTGCAGTCAAGTCCTGGAAAATTATTTTTAAGCTTTAAATGAAAAGCAAAGTGACTCTGATTAGTCACACACACACACACACACACACACACACACACATATATATAAATGTTTAAGGAAAATTGAATAAAAACCCACATGATTTTTATCTTGTTTCAAGAAACCAGATTTCAGTTTTTTGTATCAATTTCTAATATCTGGAATATGTGGACATAGTGCCTAATATAATACTTATTTTTGCTGGCAAGGACAGGTAAGCGAAAGTTGGAATCTAACTTTGACTTTTTGTATATAAGTTTATATCCAGTTTACATATATAGCCCACTCCCCCTATTCATTTCTTTTTCACTGTGGAGCATTTTGCTGAATTCAAAAGCATAAATATATGTAAAATTATATGGATAAGAGTTACAGATAAACAGTACCAAAGCTGAGAAATTAAGTACTGATAGCACTGCTGCTAGTCTTCAGGACACCATTAGCATCCAGAGATTGCAAGTGGAGCTTACTCGTGGGCTTAGAGTTTAGATAGAAGGACTACCTAAGAGAATAAGGTTTGCCATTTCAAATTACTCAAAAAATCTCAGCCATACATTTCCCCCTACTTATCCACAGCTACTTGCACTCAACACAGCACATTACATTGTGAGACATGGTATAATCTATATTATTGCTTGTTACCCAGAAATGTGAACATGGGCAGAGTTCTGCACAAAATATAAGTAAGGAGCAGCATGTAGTAGCCTTTTTGCTCACAACGTTTCTTCATTTATGGTTTAGCCAACAGAACTTTTCCCAAATTTTGTTATTAACGTTCCACAGTATCATGAATTACCTAATTAAGCAAGAAGTCAGGAGTTGCTTCTCTGGCATGACCATTTGACCTGACTTACCTGCTACAATAATGCAAATGAAAGCAGATAGTGAAAATCAAATTAACAAGGACTGCCTGTAGCTTACTGTTGTGCTTGAAATTGCCACCCACTTATTTGTTTGTTAACCTTGGCATCCAATGAAAAAAAAAAGAAATTATGAAAAAGCCTGAAAATGGCAAAGAATGGCAACCTGCTGTTCATCTGCAATGAACAGGCTAATTTAGTCTGAAGTAGAGCGTGTTAAGAATATTATCCTGATAAATGACTGTTGTACTTCTAGAAATGCTGGCCCCTGCCTTTTGTTGTGCATAAGCCAACAAGAGAATTTTTCAAGAATAAAGCTGCATGATTAAAACTCTGACAAACAAGGAACAGTTTGGGTTGAAGTTTTAATGCAAAGCCAGCACCTCTGGCTCAGGAGGAGACTGAGTTCCTACAAACTGGATGAAGTTGCAAGCAAAGAAGAGAATCTACACTTGATGGTACTTTGAATGAAGTTAAAGATTTAAGCCTCACTTTTCCTCTGCTCCTGGCTGACACCAGGAAACATTTTGGCAAAAGCTATTTTTTAGTACTGGTGTGCATTAAAGGATGCAAACCTGATGTTCAGAAACATGACATTCACTACTGAAAAAACACTGTGGTAGATGCACAAGGTTCTATTATACTAATATCATCATCATATTAGGCTGCCATTTATGTTTTTGTTTTCTTTTGAAATATATAAGTAATCATGGATAAGGTTTAATTCCATTATGCATGTTGCTCAACTAAGTAGATTAATGATTTATACCATATTGATTCGTGTTTTGTATGGTTAGAAAGCTCTTCATGCATTCACAGACCCAGGTTTCATGTGCCCATTGGATTTACAATGAGAGAAGATGCTGTCTCTTGTTTTCTACAAAGTAGAAAATGAATTAAGATCTAAAGGTTGCTCTGTTGTCAAACCAAAAAATCAAAGTTGAACAGACTAGCAGATCTCAAAATTATTGAGACTATAAAATTTCTGCTTTCCACTTTCCAGTCTATAAAAGCAGAATCATAATTTTCACCTCCAAGGATTGTGTGAATATGGTTAATATTCACAAAACAACAAAATTTCACAAAAACCTCCAATA